ATACATTTAAGGTATATTTGCAATTTGCAGAGAGTTAACGAGAATTATAAAAATACGAAATGTACGATACATACTTGATTTCAAAGAAATAAAAATACGCAATATTTATATAAAGTTCTTTGATGATATGCATTTATGATAAATATGATTTTATCCAGTAATTTATAAAATAGAAATAAATAAACAAATAACATACATGAGAGAGAGGGGCAGATCATTATTTTCCGTCTCCTTTCCGTCAAGTCAGCTACGAACGAGCCTCGCGTGAACCGCGATTGCCGTGATCGCCTCGCTTCGTAGCTGACTCTGCTGACTTGTTAGTGAAAAGGAGACGGGAAATAGTGATCTGCTCCTCTCTCTCTAATGCCCGAGGCAGAGTCGAACTCAGCCGAGCGCCGCCGAACGCGGAGCGCACACGGACACGGTTGGGCGCTTGGTGTGCGTGAGCACCGTGTGCACCACCAACGGTGCTAGAGAGCAGCTCCGGTGGCGCCCGGCCCCAAAGTTTGCATCACTGCATGAGACACCAGTCCCACGCTGATTCCAACATCCAAATATTTATAACCTGTCGCAGTCAACGCAAATCTGCGCCCCAGGATACGAGGCGTATGACGAGGTTTATCAAAACTAGAAAAAAAATACAATTAACAAATTAAATAGAAAAATGTAATGAAGTATAAAATATATAAAAGATTTATTAATTAATACTTACTCATTGCACTGTTTCTTGCATGCTTCATTTGCAGTGTAATAATTCATCGTGCCTGTGCTTATAACTGATGTAGAGCGACTGAGATATTATTTCTATGCCAGATCTGATTTAAATACAGATCCTCCCCACCACTTTTTTTCAACAGTGAAGTCATAAAACACAAAAATGCAAATCTTTCATTTATTTTTTTTCATTCATAACCAACTGCGATGATATCACGGAGCACGTGTAAAAATGCAACAGGAGAGAAAAAATACGAATCTATTTGTATCATATATCTCAAAGATATTCGGCATAACATTAGCGCCTGCTAATCAAAATCAGTAGCTATGCGATTCTGAAAGATGACTCAAGCGAGCGCCGACTAAATGTCCGGCAGCTGCATGCATCTGAAAGATGATCCAACTCAGCGTCGATAGGATTTGAAAATAATACCATTTAGAGAAAGACAAAATGCAGTATAAAATCGGACTGAAAACGTGCAAGACCACAGTAGGTAACAAGAAGCGGAAAAAATAAGAATGTATAATGGCTGAAGAGTTGCCAAGTGACTGATAAGTAACAATATGCCTTTTATGTGGGTAAATACAAACAATTTGGTACTATTGAAAAATGTGGTGAAAAATTATAAAGATCGGTATTTGGAAGGCGTATTTGAGGGACTCGAAGGAAGAGATCGACACAGTGAAACATCGACGCGTGTGAAACAGATCTCGCCGGTACAAATTTTACGCGATCGAGAACTCGGCATACGTGGGACCAATCTCTTCGTAGAACGGAGAGTTGAATTCAAATCTGAGTTTTCCTCCGAAGAGTTATGGAAATGCACATTGAAACGACGAGTATTTAGACGGGAGCTGAATAGAATCTATGGCACATCGCATTATAAAGAAGCGGACGATAAATCGAAAAGTAAATACATTCAGGAAATCTATCACAGGATTGAACGTTGTCGAGCCCAGTATATCGCATTTCCTGCAGGAATCAACAGACGCGTGGAGTTAATAATAATGAACAGTTACTTCGGTATCCAACGTTATTGTAAATCATGCAAACAAATCACGTGCAAGTGTAACGAAGAAGAGTGTGATATGATATGATAGATAAAATTGTTGGAGACATGGAGCAAATCGAATGTGATCTATTGGAGCAATCCAGTCAAGTGGCCACCTTGGGCGAATATTTCGCGTGGGTGCAGCGATGCGACGAGTGCGTGCAACGACTCGAAGAGCACGGTCGAGTCAAGCGTCCGCGGCTCTCGATCGGACACAAGCAATCTGTGGTGGCGAGCATCGTGCGACTCGTAGGCGCAAAGACTTTATTGGAGAAACGCTTTATACACATCGGTGGTAATTATGCAGGTGGTGGCGCGGAGAGACTCGTTTGGCGAGAAATCGATACCGCGTTTGAAAATCGTATTTTGACCGGTGTGGTGATTAACACAGACTATATCGAGCCGCGACAATTTTTGGAAGACGCTTGCGATATAGTGCTCGAGCGAGTGCAAGACGTTTTACAAATACGCAACAGCGTAAAAGTGAACACTACCTTCAACGGTGAATTTGTGTCATGTGAAAAACATGCAAACAAAAGTATCAACACGCGAAACTGTGAACTCTTTCGTATGACAGATTTGCGCGAGTGGTACGAGCAGCGCGTCATCGAGTCTACCTTAGCGTCCCTTGAAGAGTTTCAGGAACGCGATAGTGGGTGGGCGTTATCGTGCATACACAATTTGATAATTAATATAAACAAGTACAATCCACTGCACGCGGGGTGTTACGTCGAATTACTGCGAGAAATAAAACTGAAGAAAGCGGTAATTAACGTGCAATCTAAGGACAATGCGTGTTTTGCGTGGTCAGTGGTGGCTGCTCTGCATCCAGCTGAAAAACACACAGAACGAGTATCGTCGTATCCCAATTATATAACGGAACTAAACGTGCAAGACATTGAGTTTCCCGTGACGCTTAATCAGATTAAAAAATTTGAACATTCAAACGATATCTCAATTAACGTATTTTGAGAATACGTATTGAGAATAAGGAAATCTTGCCGATACAGTTTACCACCCGGAAGAAGGAAAAGCATGTCAACTTGCTATACGTTCAGGGAGACAACGACGTGGGTCATTTTGCGTGGATAAAAAATATGTCCCACCTCATGAGCACGCAGTTGACTAAGCACAATGGAAAAAAATATTTCTGCGATCGGTATGTATAATTTTTTACATAATAGGTTATGAATAATATAAAAAATATATTTCCAGATGCTTGCATTACTTTAGTTCGAGTCAAAGGTTGGAAGCTCACATTGTGGACTGTGGAGAGATGAACGACTGCGCGATCAGATTACCGAGTGAGGACGACGAGTGGCTGACCTTCAAAAATTACAACTGTAAGGAACGTGCACCGTTTGTCGTATACGCCGACTTGGAGTGCACTCTGGAGAAGATTGACAAGGATTCGATAACGTCTTCATATGCGTATCGGCATCATGAGGTATTCAGCATTGGATATTACGTGCATTGCTCGTACGATGATTCATTGTCCACATACCAATCTCGTCGCGATAAAGATTGCATCACGTTGTTCGTCGAGCAACTCAAAGTGTTATCACAACACGTAAAAGAAAAATTATTCACTAATGTCCCTATGGAAAATTTGTCGAAGGAACAGTGGGGGGCATACCGTAGCGCGACGCATTGCCACATATGTCAAAAACCGTTCGCACTGCCCAGGTAGCAGACGGACGTCATTTTGACATCAAATACTAGTCAGGTTCGTCCGAATGACGTCAAATGACCAAAAAATGACCGTCATATGTAAGTCTTTCGAATGACGTTATAATGACGTCATAACATTACGTCAATTTGACGTAATATTTAGGTCAAATATCCATTTTATTCACTAGTGCTCCATAACCAGTGTTGTGCAAGGTACATTATTTTTAGTACCTAGTTACAGGTATAGATACTCTAGAAAAAATGTACCGAGGTACAGGTATAGGTACTAGGAAAACAAAATACCTAGGTACAGGTACCTCAAATGTACCTTAAGTGTACCTAGGTACAGGTATTTTCATTTATTAGCATAAAATTTCAAAATAAATAGACATTGTGGCGGTCGCAATACGCGATCCGGCACATAGCGGCAATCCGGCACTGCGCGACACGCGCGCGGACGCGCGAGCACCGGCCTCCGAGTAGTTCGCCGGCCGCCGCTAAGCTGCGCACGGTGGCGGGCGAAAAACTAGGAAGTAAAATTCAGTCTCGTACAGTATATAAGGAGGCCGCGTGGAAGCCGAAAAATCAATCTCAGTATGATAACCTATCGGAACGATTCCCTTGCTGGAAGAGTTCTCGATACCATACGCTGTCGTTCTTGACGACGGGTCCAGCTAACGCTGTCGTTTCTAACGACGGGTCCAGAGAACTTCATAATCGCCGTCGTTTCTCACGACGGGAGCAGAGATCTTCATAATCGCCGTCGTTTCTAACGACGGGAGCAGAGATCTTCATAATCGCTGTCGTTTCTTACGACGGGACCAGAGTGGCAACCGCCGGAGTATCTGCAGTAGGAAGCGGCATCCCACAAGGACAACCCAACGCCGTCCTCACCGCCAAGGAAAAAGCGACGGCACAACACCCGGCCGTCCAGCTCTTCAGAGGAAGCTCCGCCAGAAAAGAAGAGTCAGATACGCATAGTATCTGTGGTGACGATCCCTCCAGCAGAACGTGTGGTCACCCGACCCAGCAAGGTTTCCAGACGCCCTCCGCGTCAGCAGGAACCGCCGCTCCAGGAGGATCTAATTCCAACCACGCCGCCACGGGCGATAACTCCAGATTTGACACTCGCAGAGTTATCTCCGCTAGGCCGGAACGAGCAACCAATTTCACCGGCGACTCCACCAATCGTTACCGACCACCCGGAACCTATCTTAACGTGGGCAGTAGAACGCCTAACGCTGCAGCCACCAAGGTTTAGTCGACCACGGCATCCACCTCTAGGACCGCTGGATCCAAGGAGTTAACGTCCTATATCACCGCGTGCTAGCGTAACCACAGCAGACAAGTGGACACAGACCGGGTCCTACGCCACAGCACGAAGGCAGAAACAACAAGATAGACGAAAGCAGCGAGCGCCACTGACCGAAACCAAACAGCTCTTATAAGAGTTCACAATCGGCCCTTGTCAGGGCCCCACTCTATCAAACGAGTAACATCTCCTGGTACTCTAGCAATGAAAAGCGTAGCTTACGAGCCAAGTAGCTACAGACATTTATGATTTCATGTGTGCAGTTGTACTTGTAGGGATATAAAGGTTATATAGAGGGCCTGTTCTTTTTAACTGCACTGTTGTAAACTAGTGCAATAAGTTAAGGTGCATTTACGTGCTCATTGTAAAGGTGACGTCACATGGAGCGTAATTCGCGTAAGCGTAACCTGCGTATCGCCAATCACAGAACCATTTCGACGGAATTATTGAAACGGTTCTCTTAGAATGACCCTGTGATTGGCGATACGCAGATTACGCTTACGCAAGTTACGCTCCATGTGACACAACCCTAAGACCGGTATTCATAGTCGATTCTTATTTCAAAATCATCTTAAGTGTTGTCTTAAGACGCTAATACAAAAGTAACTTAAAATGTACCTAAATATAGGTACCGGTACACAAGAAATTGTACCTAAATGTAGGTATAGGTACCAGAGAAAAAAAGTATCTCGGTACAATAACTAGGTACGTAAAATTGTACCTTACATACACAACACTGTCCATAACCTATTAAGTTATGTCATTTTATCTACCCAGGCAGTAAGTTGGCATTATTTGTCATTTTGATGACAAGAATACTTACGGGCCTCCGCTATCCAAGTAGAACAGTCACTGAGGTACCCAAGGAAAAATGAAAAGTCAAGATGACGTCAAGTTGATGTCATATTGACCAAAATATAACATAAATTTGGTCAATTAACATCAAATTGACATCACTTTGACTTTTCCTTGGGTATATACTGGAACGCGCGCTGAGCCAATTCGTGCGGGTAGAGAGAGAGAGCATGTCATTGTCCCCTCTGTCCTTGTCTAATACAGTTCGAACCAAAAGTTACTTGTTATGCACGTTTGTCACGAATGCTCTGACAACGAGCTAAGGGTGCTTTCACATGGAGCGTTAATTGCGTAGCGTAACCTGCGTATCACCAATCACAGGATCATGCTGATAGAACCGTTTCAATAATTCCGTTGAACTAGTCCTGTGATTGGCGATACGCAGGTTACGCTACGCAACTTACGCTCCATGTGAAAGCACCCTAATTTCTCGATCGGACTGTACCTTTTCGTCCCCACTCTCGACCACACTATAAACCAGACAAAGACAGAGGGAACACTGACATGCACTCTCTCTGTCCGAGTGTCCGCACGAATCGCCTCTTCTGCTGCTCAGCGCGTGTTCCGGTAAGAATATATTTCAGTGAAAACAGTCGGTCATGAGTGTTGGTCCACCACCTTGCTTTAAGTAAGCTGTAAGCCTTAAGCCGTAAGAAATTATAATTATAATTTCTTACGGCTTAAGGCTTACAGCTTACTTAAAGCAAGATTGTGGACCAGAGGTTAGGTTTGTTTGCGTCGCGTGTTCCAGCATGTTCCTATTCCCTCCATCCGCCAATATCGTTACATGGGGCGTTTTCCAGTAAGGACGCAGTGTAACACGGTGAATCGTTTCATCCTTGTTTAACATTGGCAAACAACAAGGATGTAATGATTCACAGTGTTACACTGCGTGGCATTGTGTCCTTGCTGGAAAACGCCCTTGGATCATAGTTAAAATGACGGTATTGGCGCTCGGGGGCGCGAATAGAAGCATGTTCAGTGTTAATCCGTGTTTGTTCGTGTATTGTATATTTTAGAAAACGCAGTATGGCTTTTGTTGGCATTGAATAGTGATGTTGTTGAAGAAGCATCAATTGCTCTAGTCCATCGTTCATGGCTTACACCTTTAAAGAAAGAGGCTTGGTGGCCTCCGTACAAAACCGGTGCACAATTTAAGAAGGCTCTTGTTTTAGAGGAAAAACCAAAAATCGAAACATGGAAATTATATGGTGTCAAAAAGATACTTTTCTCCTATGGTATGTATAATAATGCGTATTTGTATATAAATGTGTGTGTGTGTGTAAAATGTGTGGAAAATATTTTATTAAACAGTCCCCATTATATTTATATCCGTGCGATTCATCACTACTTAATATATATGTTCTGTTGTGCCCCGATTGCCGAAAGAGGTAACGAGGGCACTCAAGCAGTGTTACTGCAAGTAGAATAACACTAGCGTAAGCATATTGCGCGATCGAGCCACAAAAGCCCGACCGCGCAACCTAATTAAATTCGGAGAAGAAGTCAGCAAGTTCTCGACCCGATTACGCATGGCCTCGATCGAGTACCGAGAAAACTCGATCGAGTACTGAGAACGCTGACGCCTCGATCATCGGGTTTAAAACCGGAGGAAAGCCCGAGATCGGGGCACTTGTCACTATCGCGTATCCGCTAACATACGGGCACCAAGCGACTCTACCTACGGGCCTGACTCAACCGCCGCGACAGACGTACTCGTACGACGACTACGCACAAAAATTACGCGAGAGAATGCGAGCTACGCAACAGGCGGCGAAGGAACAATTAATAATCGAGAAAGAAAAAGCGAAAGCTCAATACGACGAACGAACTAAAATTGTAATGTTTAAAGTAGGGGAAAAGGTACTCCTACACGACGAAACCGTAAGGAGAGGACGCTCGAAAAAACTAGATGCTCAATGGATCCGTACATCATTACGGAGAAGCACTCGGAAGTAAACTATACGATAAAAAAGGGACGACGAAGCCTACGAGTGCACGCAAATGGAATAAAACCCTTTGTCGAATATTAGGAGATTAAAACTACAAACCAAGGGGGAAGGGACAGGAATAAAAGATAGAAGATAGGATAAATGAATAAAATAGAAACACTTCAAGAAAAGCTACGTATAATTAATAAAATAAAAAATATGGGTATAAAATATGATTAAAACATAGATGTAGATATA